TTGGTAGGATGACAGCTGTTGGAATTGGTTGTGCAGGACATGCTAGTGAACACAACATTAGAGTCTCGTAGATTGGTTCCTGTTATTGTGGGTTTCATTGATCGGTTAATGACGTGCAATTCACATCGGTGGTTGGGAGAATGCCTGCTTCAAAAATTTGATGAGCAATTACTCCCGAAGCTTGTTTCGGATTATCAGTTGACATCTTACTTCCCTATCTTTAATAGAATTGCGGAGAATGTTACTATTCCTCCCCGCGGTTTACTGGAGTTGCTTGCCAAGTTTCTTGTGACTCTTGTGGAGAACCATGGTCCAGAAAATGGTCTAAAATCGTGGTCAAAGGGAAGTAAAGTGTTAGGTATATGCAGGACTATACTCATGTATCACCATAGTTCAAGGATTTTCCTTCCCCTCTCTCATCTCCTGAATTTCGCTTGCCAGTATTTCCCTGACTTGGAGGTCCGCGACAATGCAAGGTGTGAAGCTAATCTTCTTTGATCAGTTGGCCCACACTTTCATTCTGCTTCTTGTGCTGATTATTTTTGCATAATATTATACATTAGGAGCAACTTAAGAAACTAGATATACCTGATACATTTCTTACATATATCTACATATGTATTAGGTGTATCTCTGTATGCGTGTATGTATGGATGTAGGTAGGAAGAAAAATGGGGAGGAGAGGAGCTGAATAGCAGGAGGAACTTATGGGAAAACCCATAGGAGACTTTGTGACTCAAATTTTATACCTATAACTTTTTACATGTTTTGATCTATTTTTACCTTATTAATAAACCTTGATAGTAAAAACAAATTGGACATATTACTCTTCTAGGACATATATGGCATTTCCTTCATTAAAAACTTGTTCCAAATCTGCTTTTGTTTCTATTAGCTCCCATTGCTCCTTAGTTTCTTCCTTTTGAAAAATGTCCTTCCTTGCTTTGGAGCATTCATCAGGCATTTTGCAGCAAAGTTTCCTTGGCTGCATGGTATACATGGTCCTGTTTTTTGATGAGCTTTCTTCTTCTGATAAAATTTATAAGGTCTGAAGGTTCTTCTCTTGTGAATTCTCTTAATTGTGGAATATTAAATGTTTCTGCACCTTCAGTATTGTTACAGGCTCTGGGACTAACCTGATGGAGATGCTTGGCGGCTACAATATGTTAGCATAATTTTTTATCTCTATTATAGCAAAACTAATAACAGCAATTTATGTATATATGATTGTATAGGTAAGAATATGAATGTGTATAACTGTACATGCATTTTTTTAGACAACAGGAATTTCATGTTTCGGCCAATATTTGTTTCATTCCTGGTATAAATTGTCACAAAGTAAGGCACGAGCTTTCGATGCTACAATGATCAATTTAAATTTCTTTAACGATTATTAGTAGACCTTCACTAAAATTTCATGTTATTACCTCTGGTTTTCTTTTCATTCTTTTGAATCTTCAACATCTTTCAGGATCTACTTGAGGATGCTCTTATGCATCCCAGGAAAGAAGCTTAGGCATGTACTGAACCTAGGACAACAGCTTCCTGGTGACTCCTCTTCTCCAAACCTCTCCACATTCTTCCAAACGCCATCTCCTCGACCGCCTCGGGATACAAGGAGTGGCCATAAGCCGTCTTCATACATTGATCTCAATCGTGTGGTTCCACTTATTGTCAAGCAGTCTTGGTCCTTGGCTATATCAAATTTGGGAATAGAAGACAAGCAGCCTGGGTATGGTGATGCTTATGGGGTTGAGCCTTCCTTTAGAGCCACTGAGATTGAAGATGGGTCAGATGCACTGGCCCATGAAGAGCCTAAGATAACTACCGGAACATCAGAGGAGCCTTTGAGAGTGATGGATGCAAAGATTGCGGAGATCTTGGGAATCCTTAGGAGACATTTCGCATCAATTCCTGACTATCGACATATGCCAGGCCATAAAATCGAAGTACCATGTACACTGAGATTTGATGCTTCTTCTTTTAGTGACAAATGGGAACCCGAATCGCCAAATATGGAAGCTAAAGTAACTAAGGAATTACCTGCTCTATATGCCATAGTGATCAGCTTTTCATCTTCTTCAAATTATGGTCTAATCCCATCAGTCCACATACCTTTTCTTCTTGGACAAGCTCCTAGCAATGAGCATGTTTCCCCAGATGAAGCTTCCACTGATATGGGACATGAAGGTGAAATGATTCCTTTAGAAAGGTTGTTCAGTATTGAAGGAAATGGTTTTGAAGAGGCAGAAATAAGTGAAGAAGAAGCCCTGACAGGGTCAGTGATAATTGAACTGGAGCCTCGAGAGCCAGTTCCTGGCTTGGTGAATGTTTCCATTGAGGCAAACATAGAGAATGGGCAAACAATTCATGGTCTGCTTCAAAGTATCACAGTGGGTATTGAGGACATGTTTCTCAGGTCTCCTGTTCCTTCTGATGTTCCTGTAGATGCAATTCCTAAGTATCACTATGATCTGTTTCATGCTCTTTGGGAGGCATGTGGTAACTCTAGTAACACAGGTCGGGAAACATTCTTCTTGAAAGGGGGCAAAGGTGTTGCAGCAGTCAATGGGACGAGATCAATTAAGCTTTTAGAAGTTTCATTTGAACATGTGGTTGGAGCCATCGAGCGTTATTTGGCTTCCTTTGTTGTTGGCGTGACTGGTGAGCCTATTGTGAGTAGCATAAAGGATAACAGCACTTTTAAGGGTATTATTGTCCCTGAGGATGAGTTGGAGAGTACAAGCAGCAGTGTGGCCACGGGTTTTCCATATGGTGATAGTGGTCCCCTTCAGCTCAAGTATTTTCCAGACGAAACTGATTCAGAGATTAATTATTCTGGATTTGGTAGGAGACACCTTGGTTATTTTCTTGTTTTGATATTCCTGCCCCCTAGATTTCATCTCCTCCTTCAGATGGAGGTTTGCAATTTTTCAACATTAGTTCGTATCAGAACCGATCATTGGCCATGTCTTGCTTATATGGATGAATATTTGGAAGCTTTAACTGCGACCTGAGATGGTGCTTTTCTTCCATGAAAAATTTTTCATGGTATCTGCGGCCTGTTACTTTTTGGCATGATTTATGTCAGCATTGGCTCCTCTATCACCTTCTTTACTCGGGGAAGGCCATGTATGTACATTGTTACATTGTTTCTTTTCTTCGTTTTTTCCCCCCTCTATTGATCTTCTTTTTAACTGAAATTGTTTTGAAGCTGCGGGGATTACTTTTTTACACAGAATAAACTGTTGTTAATACCTCGGGAAAGTTGAGGCTATTTTTGTGTCGAAGATAATTCTTTTTTTGCCTGGGATGCGTTGTATGTCATAATTTGTGCGGGACATTTGATCAAATGCAAGAGCTCCATATTTCTGTTGTCATCTTTTCTTTTTATAGTTACCATTATCATGTTACTTGTTCCTTTTCTCATTCTTCTATTTTTATTGAATTAACTAAGCCTTGATTGTTGTGAGCACTAGAATTTACTCTTGTTTGTCATGTTCTAAATGTTATTTCTGCAATTTTGTTTGTTGCCCTATGGTGATGAGTGGAATTCTGCCAGTGGATGTTGATGAAAACATATTCTTTGGTAGTTAATTTTCATTTATGATTAAGAACAGGGTCTATGAGTCAATTGATGGAAGTATTTAAGAAGAGAACTTTCTGATTTGTTTAAGGTGGACATAAGATTCTAAATGGTTGTAGTGGGGTTCTAGTGTCATGGTCTTCCAGTGAGCATCTCTTTGTATTGGTCATATGGTTTTTAAAATTCCTCAGTTTAAAATATATGTTATGATTTCGAATTAGAGAAATGTCCTCATTTATTTCTCCTTTGATATATTTGCCTACTTTTCTATCTTTTCTCTACGATGGTTTGCACTGTGATCTGATATATTGAAGGATCATTGTAAAATTAAATTATAAAATGCTTTCACTGAGGAAGAACCATAATTGACTTCAGAGTTTTGACATGAGAGAACTTTATGTAGGAATGTTTCTTCATTTTTCTAGACCTAATCATTTAGTCAACTCTAAAATTGGAGAGAAGAGGTAAAGTTTAGGATAACATTTTGTGGTATGCCTCAGAAATATGTGAGTTTAAATTTATATGTGATAGTTCTCGAGGAAAAAACTGTGACTCTATCCAGTAGGCTTAGCTGAAACTAGTATTGGAGTTTTATTCCTTAGTTATTTAGATTCAGAAATTTCAAAGAGAATGATGGAAGGAGATCTAAAGTGGAAAGATGAAGAACTTCCAGTGGTGTGTCACTGGTCTGTGACCCTATTTGATCTCATCCCAAAATGACGGTGTGAATCATTGCTCACAACACTGTAGATACTGTAAAAATGAGGTGGAGCAGGACAAATAATGTCCACACCTCCTAAAAATGACCAAACCTTTGTTATTTGGTATAGGCAAGTCTGACAAAACCTGCACTATTTTGTTAAGAGCGGGTTTAAGGGTGTGTGTAATATAATTTATTCCCTAATACCCCTAGTTAAGACTACCCTTTTTAGGTTTCACGTCATCGTAAATACGAAAAGTAGTTTAATTTAAAGTGGAAGTCTTATCTTTTGTATATTAATTTGAAACAACAGAAATAAAACTCTATATTAATAATCTTTCTCTGGACATCCAAATTACTGTAACTTTTCATTTCTGTGAGTATTAGATCTCTCTCTACATGGAAAACGTTTGTATAAGGTGTCAACCTTATTGTATAGGAGTAAGTTGCACCTCAAAAACCCATTGGAAAAAGGTTATTCCTCCAATGGAAAACTCTCCAATCGATCATCTCAACATTGAGATGTATGGATATGAAAAAAAAAAAAAAAAGAATTTTGAATCCCAAATAGTGCATCTTATAGTACACTATCTGGAACATCCATTTTCAAGCTTTTCAAGTGCTTAAGGATCTGCTTGATTTATACCATTTTTGAAGCTCTAAATTTCATAACTAGGCGTGGAAATTGATATTCAAGTCGTCGTAGGGGTTTTTGACACCGAAACTGCATCTTACAGCAAGGTTTGAAGGTGCTCCTACGTTCACTGTCTAATAGCACATAGTCTGTCTCCATGATGAGAGAAATAATGTCAAACGACTTCAGGATATTTGGACTACTTTAAACCGAAAGGGTTTCGAAGGTTATCAGGATATTTCTAAGGTGGTTTTACGAGACAGCTGTGAGGATTCAACACAAGCTGGTCACGACATATGTAAATATAATTTGTAATGACCGTTCACAATATCACAATCCGGCAAGCATCTAAAATTGTGGGGATGACTCTAATATATTGTGGAAGTCTTACCATATTTGTAGACGTTGGAAACGACTAAAAGCTTAAGTATCAGACAGGTCCTGCAAAACATCTTTGTCATTATTAATCTCATGAAACATCAAGTCATATTCTTCATTATTCTTTCATAGTTGATTTGATAAACTTTTCCATCATTGTCTGGATCATCTGGTCTTGGGGATGCATAGAATTACTAGTATTACTTTCCTTGTATACTATTTCTGTGTGGCTCTCCAAAATCTAGTCTATTTGGAGCCTGTTGAGTGGTGTTAAGTCCATTCAGCTTTGTAAGTACAATGGATATATACTTGTTACGAGTATAAAAAACTTGAACTTGGTGTCTAAATTGGTCACTGCCAAGTCTTGAGTCAATCACCAAGTCAAATAGTTAGAAGTTGGTTAATTTATTTCAAATATTTTTTAAAAATTAAAAATGTCTGTTATGATAAGACCATGTATCTATAAAATTAAAGCAGAAATTTTTATATAAGAAAATAATCAGACATCTTGAATTTTTTATTTATAATACTCACCTACTTGATGAATCAAGTTGAGTCAGACAAGTTTCTCCAACCCGAAATCAGTTTTTTATTCACTGGTGTTAGTATGCCCGTTGCATTCACAAGGGGTTCATGTCATGCTTTAGCAGTCTAGCCATGTTCAATAGCTTGTCTTCTCTGTTTATCTCTATCACACAAGAAGGTGTCTAACATTTTCTGGCACTCTTTACACATCGCACACAAAGACGCACTATTTCTCATACCCCCCCTCTCTCTCTCTCTCTATCTCTCTCTCTATTCTCTCTCTCTCTCT